AAAATTTCCCATATTTTTAATTGAAAGATCTCATAAACAGTATTAGTTATTAATAATTTGTTGACTTCTGTAATTAGATGTGATCTGAAATTACATAAATGATTCACTTATGCAAAACATACCTTTCCTCTTCGTGGTGTAAAATTAAAGATTTGGATAAGAAAAATACCTGAGTTTGACAAATTTTATGAATCAGGAAAAAGTGTCTTTATTATAAGATACTTTTGAGCTAATATGCCTATGAGCTCCAAAAAATGTTATCCACTAAAGAATGAAATGTATGGAATGAATGACTCCTGAAGACACCATCAAAAGCAGAATGACAAGTGAGACCAACACAACACTACAGAAGGGAATAGGAAGAGAGAAGATAGGATCAAAACAGCAAAGTCTTCCACAATTTTCAGTTTAAAGACATAGCAATGAATGATTCTGAAAACATGAGTCCAACCTATTTTTGGCAACTTTTATAGACTACATCTATGGACATACAGCCAAGTCAAGGGTAAAGTATTTTAAAATTTAGTAAACTTTAATAGGAAAGGAAAGACACAAAATGGAGATAAGTACATAATTTCAAAAATAGAAACTTTATATGTATGCATAACTTAAATTGGTTAATATATTTCCATATACCTTGATTCTTTATGTGTCAATGGTGGACATTCCATGCAGTCAAAAATCCTAATACTAAAGTGTGTCCATAAAAATTGCAGGAATTACAGATCTTATTCAAGGACAAAAAGTTATCTACCTGGCCAAAAAAACTGGAAAGAAGGAACAAATATGTAAAAGGACAAATGGGATGGGAAATAAAAACCCTTCTTTAACTTCATTTCCTCTTATGCCCCTGTTTTCTCACCTGCCTATCAGAGCAAACACCTGAACAGAATTATCTCCCTTTGTTCAGTTCCACTTTGTCCTTAGCCAATTTTCCATGCATTCCATGCTACTTTTATCACCAACTTTGCATCAAAATCATTATTTCTAATGTCTTCAGTGCCACCTGTGAGGTTCAATGCAAAGGAAAATTTTCAGTCCTTATCTTTCTTGATCTAAAAGAAGCTATTATGGTTTTATTATGCTCATCACAAGTTCATGTGTTGGAAATTTAATCTCCAGAAGATACATTAATGAGGTAGAGCCTTTTGAAGGTATCTGAGATTAAATGACATTATGAGGGTGGTGTTATACATTAGTGGCTTTTAAGAAGCGGGTAAGCAGATGCCAGTGCCATGTTCTTGGATTTCATAGCCCCCCAAAGTGTGAACCATATAAGCTTCTGTTCTTCAGGAAATTTCTTTTCTCAAGTACTTTGTTATAGAAATAGAAATTGGATGAAGACAGATTTCCACATTTTAAAATCTCTTTGTTTTTTTATGACATTGGCTTCTCTTCTCTTTTCTCATACATTTCAGATACAATTTTCCTGTCTCTAATGCCAAAGCATCTTTTCTACAAAACATTCAAATGTTGCACAAAACTTTGCAAGTAACCCCTTTTCTGTACTCAAGAACTATATATATATATATATATATATATAATTCTTATATATATAGTTCTTATATATATATAAATCTGAGATTATTTTATATATATATAAAAGATTTTTGTCCAACTTAAACATTTCTAAGAGCAACATTAAAGCATATTAAATCAGATATCCCAGAAATACTACAAATCCAATATGATTTTGACCCAAACTTTTCCTTAAGTGAAAAACACCTATATTTCCCTATTTCATAAGCTGTAAACCAGGTAATAAACATCCAAATTTCAATCTTCTTAATCTACTATCATCAGTTAATCATGAGAACTGGTTGGTTTTAGTTCTCAAGCGCTTCTCCATCTGCATTTTTAAGATGAGTCATTACTATCTCTCCTCCACTAACCAATGACCACTAATGATGCATGCAGTCTGTTCCACATCGTGTATTTCAACTGATTTATTTAAAACACACATATGATCATGACACTTCTCTATTTAAATCTTTACTTTGGCTTTCCCTTGTTCTTAACATGAAAGCTTTCTTCTTTTGTGTGACATTCAATGTCCTACCTGCCATCAGATGCCTCTCCCTTGCTCTTTCTCCAGGTCCTGGACTTCTTTCTGTTTTAAACCGTGCTTCGTTCTATCCAGAGTCTTAAGTTTATATAGCTGCTTCTAAATTTTAAAGCTAGATCATTTTTATTTGTCCTTCAGATTTCAGAATTAAACTCTACTTGAAATAAAATTTTCCCGAATACCAGCTTAACTAGCTAGATTAGATCCTCTGTTAATGTATCTCTCTATCAAAGTACTTGCCAAATTTGCAATTACTCTTTGGGTTAATGATCTTTCTCGCCTTAGGAGAATATCAGTCATGCATATTTTCATTTATAGCTTCACCTCTAGCTCTAGCCTTGGAAAAGTAGGTGCTCAATAAGTACCTGTCAAACAAATAAATGAACTCCAATGTTTATCAACGTTGTAGTAACCCTCATCAAGTAAATCACAGTATAAATCAATAGTCTCATTAACAGCAATGTCATTAAAACAACTCCACAAATTTGGCAAATAAAATTTATGCTACTGGCATACTATCACATGCTTATTTTTATGTATAATGACAAGTCTAACTTTATTGGATCAGAACTCCACATGATCAGAGGTTGATACATGTCATATAATAATACATAAACATTTTTCAAACATATTGATTCTAAGAAGTCAAAACACCTTCAAAGTTAGCATAAAAAGGAAAACCAAATCTAAAACATATTGCAAAACTTATTAAAAACAAAAACCAGTCAGTTTTGTATAACATAAAATGAATGAAAAGTGCAATAATATTGGAAGTCTTAATATGGAAAAAATTCAAGATCCACATAATAAACTTTTCCATCATTGTTAGTATTGAAGGTTATACCTTTAAATGTCAAATAAATATCATAAAATTGAAAAACATGTTTTCATTATGATATATTCAAGATGAAAAACAACTGTAATTAATGCAACACATAAATTTGTAGATAAAAACCAAATGACCTAGTATGTATGATTAAACAAATTTTAGTAAGTTATGCTGGTATACAATTTAAAGAATGTAGTATAAATCTCTACTTTTTTCTTGAGATTATTTCTTAAATAATGACAGGACCATCCATACATTGTTGAAACTCACTTTGGTCCTCCAGGATTCCCTTTTTAATTCTTCACCACAATTAACTATCCATGAGCATCTCCAGTTTCTACTTTCAAAATATACCATTAATATATCCCACTCCTGCTCACCCTCTGTCACACCATCACTGTCTTGACTACTGCAACAGTCTTTCGACTACTTACACTTCTGTTCTCCCCAGCACACCTCACTACTTAAGTTTACCTACCACACTGCAGCTATCCTCCCATTTCCACCCAAATGTGACTGTGCTATTTCTTTTGATTGGAATGTTCAGTCCCATAACTTCCCTTATTATCAAGTCTCAGGTAAATCACCACCTTCCTTGACTTTCACCCTCAAGCCTGACCATTCCATCTAAACAAATCCACAGTCAACCTCTAGAACATTGTCTTGTTCATTTTCTTAGTATTTTTTTTGTTACAATAATTTTCTCTATTTTTCTATGGTTACCCAGTACCCTAGTACCACCACCAAATGCAAAGCTCTTGAGCATAGGAAGTTATTACTTTTGTCCATCAATTACTGCCTAGTGCCTAGAAAAATGCTTGATACACCACAGTTGCTCACCAAATATTTACTATGTAAGTGAATATACTTAGCAAAAGCAGTTTGAGATAAAAACAAAAACCATAAGGTAAGATTCAGAAAGACTTCCCTGAATTTATATCTTGTGGATTTGCACACAAATTAACACACTAGAAATCTCAAATATTATGATGAAAATACATTGTTTTACTAAGAAAGTTCACTTCTGCATTATATATGAAAGTAAAAATCAGAAAGTAAAAATAATCCACATAAAATCTTTTTAAATGAAGAATTTTACATAAGTATGCATTACAAATAGAGGAAAAAAGCCAGGTGTCTTTTCGTTAGCAAAAAATAGAAAGGTCTCTTTAGAACTGAACCAGAGGCACTGAAAGAAATGATGTAAAAGTCAATTTAAAATATGAATGTCAATTTAAGACAGAAAAAAATCATTTTAAAACTAAGGAAAATACCTTTTGTATGTAAACAGAGGTTACATGTTTACACTAGAGGTGTTCTGTTTCTAAGGACCTATATATTATGTGCTTAATATTTGGAAGAAGTAAACCTAGAATCCTACAAATCCTTCTAACACCCAAACATCTCCAAATCAATATTCTTATCTGCAAGACCCGGTAGTCACACACAAAATGGTAAGGATTTAAATCTATGCCTTGAGGATGCAATAATGTATATGTCATGAACTCTTGGGGCCTGTAGGAACAGTCAAAGCCAAAGCAAAATGAATTTTATGTGCCTAATGACTGCGTTTGGACTCCAGGAGAGAATAAACTACCTTAGATGTTAGAAATTTTAAGAGTAACTAGGAGATGATTTACTCCATTGAAACTATTTACTAACTACCACCAAGCATAAATACAAGCACTGAGATTACTCATAGTAGCAAACAAAAACTAGCAGTAGGTACTTTATCTCACCATTGACTGCCTTTGTCACACAACATTGTCTGGAAAAATTTAACTACCATTCTAACTGCTAACCACAGTAATATCAATATGTGAGTTATCTGAATATCTAATTATGAAAAAAGAAGGCAATTTCACAATGGAAGTATTTTCTAATCCAAGAAACCAGCCATATTAATTTATTAGCCTGACATATAGCAGATAGCTTTAAAAAATTTAATTTGAAGGATAATTATTTTTAGCTGATTAATATGCTTCAAATTAAATTCACTGCTTTTAATGGGCCCATCAACTTGACAGCCTAGGATTTTCATAAATTTTGCATGCAGTAATCCAAGGAAACTTACATAGTTGAGCTACACATCATTATAAGGATTACCTTCACAGTAGGCATTGTCCTCCCGAAGAGCCCTAAAACCATCTCGGCAGCTGCACACAGCCCTGTCATTCAGGTTTCTGCAGACAGAATTCTCCATGCAGTTATGCCTCTCAGAACAAAAGTCATAGCCTGTAGGGGGAAAAGGACATTTACTAAGGTAAATAAAACGATGGCCAAAGAAATAAGCTTTGCTTACTTAACTTTTAAAGCCATTTTCTCTAAACAGTTTTTAAAAATAGCAATACCTTTAGAAATGTTTACAGTAGAATTACAAACTATGAGTACTAAAAAGAAGTTCATTGTATTTAACTCAATTCCTACTTCTTAATTCCATGTGTTTAACTTTGTGCATACTATCTAGTCCCTAGTATTCTACATAGCTCAGTATATCTTAAACAAAGATAGTGAGTACAAAATAAAATGTGACAATAAGGGATGATAACACTAACGTAAGATAACCTGAGCGTGCCTAATACCTATGAAAAAACTAATAAAAGTAGATAAAACATGCCTGTCATAAAACTAATAAATAAAACATAATTTAGCATCTTTTAAAAAATTTCTCATGTGCTCACTTTGGCAGCACATATAATAAAAAAAATTTCCAGTTGTGTCAATAAATGAAAATGATATCACTTTAATCTTATCTGAGGTATGTAAGGCAAATTATGGCCATTCAAAAGAAGAAAATTTTTATGAATTACAGAGATTTCACATTCCCCTGAATCTTTATGAAGGGAAAGCAAACTTTATAAGCAGAGCCACCAATCATGTGCAATTTCTCAGAATTTCTTACTCCTGTCTGAATCTCCTGCTCAAAGATCATGTGAGATCGTGAGATGAAAAGCATGAACACTGGAATCAATAATAAATGGAAATTACATGATTATACATGATTCAAAAAGTTTCTAAATTGCCTAATGCACAAGTTATCTATCTAGTTTTATCTTGTCTAATGGATTGCTATTTCAGTCCATCTATATAAAAGGACAAAGAGAGTATATTTCATGTACATTAGGACAAACTCATCTATCAGTATGTACAGCCAAGTAAAAACTTTAACTGGAGAAAATCATGAATATGGAAGTTCTAAATTGGTTCAAATTATTTATAATCAAATTGGTGGTTATTAGGATTTCTTGATGTTCATTCTGACTGTATGGCACCTAAACCAAGTATTTTGAACATAACTCCAGAATTAAAATATATCTCCCATAAAGAGGGGAGTGAGAGCTACAAAAACAAAACAAAGCTACATGAAACCAAGATACACAGTAAAATAATCTTGGTACAATTTAGCGATTAAAAGCATTACCCTTAAGAAAAGTAATGCTCCAAAAACTCAGTAATGTCACTAAAAAGGGAGAGAAAAAATCAAATAGCTTAGTGATTTCTATAAAAATAAAATAATACATAGATGCATGAAAACCAAAAATATGTAGTCATTAACAGCATTTAATGTAGTCCCTTGTTAACGTCTCTTGACAAGATTCTTCAAAATCTGAATTCTGATGATTAAGGCTGTTATTTAGGAGTAAAATTGTTAGGAAAAGTTAAAAATATTTTCTCTTAGGTCTTTTTAGTTTCTTCTTTATAAAGTAGCTAAGTCAAGATCACATTTCTTAAAATGTATTCCAAATGTATTTTTACAGTGACTGTAGGGGGAAATTTTCTAGTAAAAAATTTTCTAGTAAAAAACCCTCTTTAGTACTATTGCTCAGCATATCATCAAACTAAAATTTAAAAATTTCACAGATCACTTTGTATTTATGGCAAATTAAAGTTAATTTCAAAAATTATCCACTCTTAAGGATACACAAAATTGAGAGATAAGTCATAAATAGTGCTGAAACTCCTATAATTTTATCTGCAGCATTCAAACCCCTTTGAGAGCACTATGACTAAGTATGGGTATTGTTTCTGATTTTTTTTTATTTTTTCTTTTTGGATTAATGATTTTCAAAACTGTCTTTCAATCTTTCATTTTGTGGATTTCTCTCTTGTCCCATTTCTAAAATTCTACCCAATATTCTCTATTCCATGATATTTTGAGTCTTGCTTCAGTAATGGGGAGCCCTCCTACCTCAGCATCTGACATGATACACACAGACCTTATGTATTAGTTAATTGCTGCAAGAAAAATTTTCCAAGTATAAGATTAAAACATGATCCTGTTTCACTGCTTCAGGTAAGAGATAGAAAGTACTTTCTCTTTATCAGATAGGGATTTTATTAAGCCAAAGACTTGAAAATGAAAAATTCCAATCAGATTCTAATTTACATAGACAATGTATAAGATAACTATTTTGACTTATATTTCTAACAAAAAATGTTGATTGATTCCACAAAGTATTTTATTGCTTAGATACCAAATGTAGGAGTCAGAGGGCTAGCTACTAATGGGCAAAATATTTCACATTTAGTTGAAATAGGTTGTTTTTAATCTATAGGGAATAACTTCAAAATACCAGAGTGCAAGTTGACAGTGTAGTCTATTATCTTCATAGCTGTGTCTCTGTTCAGATGTGATTAGCCTTTGGGGTTGGCAAACCTAAGTTTATATCCAATCTGTGCCACTTACTGGCTGTGTAAATTACTAGCTATGTTAGTAAAATAACTTTTCCATTTTTCTTATCTATAAAATATAATCTACCTTATAAGAATATGAGGTTCAAATGAGATAATCTATATAAAGCATAACGTATACTATTTGTAACTTTAGCTTTTAGAATATTACTGATAAGCTAAAATCAATATCTTATAATCCATATCATAGAAGAAAATTTGAATATTGTCAAGTGGATGAATTACATAACACAAATATTTCTTCCTTTGATTTTAACATCAAGGACACTAAGCACTGTATTCTTCTTGTAAACTTTACAAATATACATAAAGTTATGTGTTTTTATTAAGTATAGACTTTAAAAATAAGATGTAAATAAGCATTTCTCTATAATTGGCCATGTGAAGTATTCACAAAAGATGATGAGTAACAATGGTTTACACATTGCTAATACACACTTATGAGGAGAAAAAATAATAATTTCATGGTGAGTGTTTGTTGATTTTGCTCATGTATGTGTTCCTTATTTTGGGGAGATAAAAAATAAGTTATACTTTGCATGAAACACTTCTCCTTGTTATCCCAGTTGCTTCCAGGACAAAAATAGACTCTACCCCTACATGGGATAAAACCATATCTATTAATGTATTTCAATAGCACAATTTCAGCTAATGACCACTGAAACTCCATTCTGGAACTTTTTTCAACTCAGGTGTTTAGGAAATTTTTCTTTCACCTACCTGAGTGTCATAGTGATATGAGTATAAGAACATTAGAGATCTACTTGGGAACACATTGACTCTGAAGACGGTCACACCAGAAGAGACAGATGAGAGATGCATTTAGGTAAAGAGGAATAGTTTGTGATCTAAATTAAGTGCTACCTGAAGCCAATACACCTTTTCCTGTGGGGGCTATATACTCCATGTCTTTGGCAAAGTCAACAAAATTGGTTATTCTGCCACTTACACAAAACAGAATATAAGTGCTATTTACAAGATAATAGTGTCTTTGTATTCCAAAGTGTACTTCATGTTCACGGATGCACAAGGAAAAAATGTTATCAGCAATGGATTTTCTTTTAAGTCATACAAAAATGCATGAATATAGCAAGTTACTAAAATTACTTTATAAATATCATTGTTTAGGAATGAAATTAAACTTTTAAAAATGAGATAAAATCAATATTAAAATGTTATTAGTAATTCATAGATAATAAGAGTCATAAAGGTGACAAATAGTGAGGGAATCTATGATTTATCCTGAAGCAAACAAGGAAAACAGTTTACACCAAATCAGCCTGAAGCTAGTGAAAGCATCCTTACTTATGCTTAATAGGTGTGATGAGGTAAATACTGAAGTGAGGCTCCAGTGAACGATCTTGCAAGCAGAGACTAGAGAAGCCAAGAAAGAGAAATGGACAGGAAAAAAGACAATATAAAGTAGTATAGGTCATTTCTGTATGTAAAAGTTTTTTCTGTATCACTCTCTGCCATGCAATTTGTTTTTAGCTTTCCTAAGATGTCAATCAAACACAACAAATGTGACAATCTTTTCTGCTACATTTCTTCTGACTTGATACTAAAGAATATAGCCAGCTGCAGGGCACCTAGAAATCAGTCTTGGTGAGATCTGATTTTGTGACTAACAATTTAGAGCCTTATTTCAGGGCACAGCTTGGTTCCTAGCCACTGGACAAGCCTGTGATAGAAAGGTCAACACTTTCATCTCATGCTCTACCCTGAGAAAACACCTACTAACCATTGTTGAACAACTTACTTTTTCAGATGTCAACATGCATCTTTACTACTACACAGCACTAGGAACTGGAGGCAAATTCTATTACAAATGAATTTGTTACAACATCTGTGTGGGAATTAACTTAAAGTTTAAGCCTGCAGTGCTGGATTTGTTTTTAGTTTAGAAGTCACCGAATGCCAGAAGAACTCATATATTCAGCATATTTGAAGTCAGACATTAATGTAATCTTTATTTTGAATAATGCTAGATGATTCAAAAAGGGTAAACTTGTGCAATTTTAGTTTGAGTATTACCTAAGTCTGTGTTTTACAATCCTAGGTGCAAAAAAGCGACTTTATCACCCAATTTTAAAAATAGTGATGCCAAAGTCTCTCCTCATATAATTTATGATCAGAATCTCAGGCAGAGGGGTACATGGTATGTTTTATCATTGTTTTCTTTTAGTACTGCTAGACTTTCCATTTCTCGACTTGCTTTTTGTAATATGCTAGGTCTCTTTAAAAACAAAATGGATGTAATCTGGGCTTCTCTTGGCATTTGAAAAGCCCTATTTTAGTTTCTTACTCCAATCTTCTCCCATCCAGTCTTGACTAACTTCTGTGCTATTCATCTCTCTAAACTCTAAATAGTCCTTGGACACTTGTAATAAATTAAAAATAACAACTCTTAATGATCTCCTAATGCATGATGTAGTTAATTTTTCCTCCTCTTGAATCTAAGCTGCCCCATGACAGCACTGACCAAAGGAATATTATAGAAATAATGCTGTAAGAGTTCTAGACTTCACATTTAAAAGCCGTAAACCAACATTTAAGAAGTCCTGTGATTACATGGTAGGGAAGGGAATCCAAGCTATGATCAGACTCCCAGCCACTCTTACTAAAATGTCCAGTATATAGAGAATCTTGAATCTGCTCACCCTGCCCAGCTTCGTACTGAACATCATATAGTAACCCAGTTAACACCAATGGGGCGATCTAAACAAAAGCTATGTGAATGTCTGACAAACAATACTGATATCTATAATAAAGCAGTTGTTTTCAGTCACTGAGGCAGCCGTAGGTAACCACACCCAGTATATTCCTCTTGCCAGCAACATCTGCACACCTGGAGTATATCAGAAACGCAGATTACGGAGGCCAAACCCAAAGCTCCTGAATCAGGACCTACATTTTAAAATCTTACTCTCCAGTGCTGGTGACTGAACCCAGGGCCCTGCTGCCAGTTCATCTGCCACTGAGCTACACCTTCAGCCCAGTGTCTGAATTTAACAAGATCTCTAAGGTATCTATCCATGCACATATAAATTCAAAAATCACCAGTATAACATGTCTCTGGTTGCTAAAAATTTCTAGTCAAAATGAAAACCCAAATCAAATGACTAAAATGAGTTTTCTTTATTCATATAAAATTCCACATGTGCTCTGTGCAAAGCACTGGCTCAGCACTGCGAGGGTGAACTTTCTAGGGGTCCTCATTCCATGTCTATTTAATCATGGTGCTTTGAAAAGTGCTTCTCAGTTCCCAAGAGCTACCGTGAAAACTCCTTGAAGGGCAGACCAAGTTTTAAGCCATGATATAATTCCCAAAGGGTTTCACATAGAATTGAGATTTACAATTCTTCACTGAATAAATAGAAAAGGAGCTTTAAAAACACAAATCAAAAATAAAACCAAAATTACTGTTCTCTAGAAATGGAGTGGGTGATTCGATTAGAAATAGAGTAATTGAGTTTCTTGTTTTTATTTTTTTCTGTGTAAGATGGACTTTGCATCAGTCTAGAGGCCATCTTTTACACAAGTGCTAGTGTATTTGGGGCAGTTAGTTATTCAGTTACATCAATATTCATCATACACAATAACTACATCCAGGTGCTTCACTAGGCACAAAGATATAGAGATAAATATAAACACTAGCTGCTCCCTCAAATTGCATAGTCTGCTTCAGAAGGAGGAGTTACAAATACATAACATCATTATAATGCAGGAAGATGCATATAGTTTCATGACTAGAGGCACCTTGCAGAAGTTTATATAAGTAATGCTTTAGTTTAAAGCTTGAATCCCCAAGTTTAGATACTTTTAATGGAGGAAATTCGCTGCCTTGTTACATTTCTGAATATCTCAAGTCTTGTTGTTTTCTTATACTGAACCACAAGTGGTAAGTCTCTTCTACTCAATGGTTTCAGGCCTATGATCTTAGAGGCAACAGAAAGTTAAAAGAAAGCCTTTCTGATAGCCTCTATCTTCTTAGTGTAGAAGTCTATGAGTAAAAAAGGATGAAAATGCTGAGAGGATGTTAAGCAGCTATAATAAAAAATATCATAAGTCAGTCACAGAAACTGAAGGGAAATTAAAAATAAACAAAAACTTGTTCCTAAGCAACAGTTACCATTAATAACATAGCTGTCCTTTACTTATAATTTTCTTTAACAAAATTGAGGTGATTCAGAACCAGCAGAGAGGTTCAGATATAGGTACAGATACTTGCAAAGAGCCTGAGAGCATCCTGGTTTTAAATCACTTCAGCAAATACATCATGACTATCTATGGGGTACAAAATTTAAGAAAAATTTAGGAAAACACTAGTAGGCTTTAGAAATAATTTGCTTATAAAAATTTCTATTTCATATCATTTATACTCATTTACTATATAATAACTCTTGCATGTAAATCTTTTAAATACATTTTTATTTTTATTTTTAATTGACACAGTAATTGTGCATAGTTTTGAGGTACAGTGCAACATTTCAATAAATACATACAATGTATAATGATCAGATCAGGGTAACTGATGTATCTGGCACCTCAGACATACACCATTTCTTTGTATTAGGAACCACTGTAGTAGCCATTTTGAAATATTCAAATAATTTTTGTCAACTACATTTTTTCCACTGTATACAGAACATTGCAAATGATTCTTGTGCAGCTGCACCCCTCTACCCAAAACCATTCTCTCCCTAGTTTCCCTTTCCTATTGCCTCCCAGACTCTGGTAACCACAATTCTATTCTCTGCTTGTTTGAAATCAATTGCTTAGCTTCCAGATTTAAGTGGAGACATGTGGTATCTGTCTTTCTGCCCCTTACTTATTTTACTTAACATAATATCCAGACCCATTCATGTTCTTGCATATAAATCTTACTTTATGGAAAAATCTTACCTTTACAAACTTTGCAGCAGCTATGAGACAAGGTAATTTGGTGAGATTCTGGACAATCCAAGTCTGGACAGCCTGAACTCTCAACAAGCTTCATGGTCTGGTCCTATTAGACAGCAGAAAACAGGTGTCTCAGTTTTTGCAATTATCAAAATTACAAAATTATTTGTAATTATCAGTTTACTGATTAATTCAGTTAATCAGTATACAGTTATCAGTTAATCAGGTAACTGATTAATTATCAATTAACTAATAAGGTTCCAGATTCAGCACCTGACAAGCGTCCTCAAATACACCACTGATATTTTCATTCTGACGACTTAAGCACAGGGCAAGGCCTCACTCCAGAAACGACATTAAAATTCAACTGAAAAACCTTCAGAATGGACAAGCAGCAGTGGGGCAAAATCTAACACATTACACTCAGCCTGTAATTTACCAAGTATCAGGGTAAATTACTTTTACTGGTTACTTTTACAACACATTTACATATCCAATTACAACTGTGGTAAAGATACAGCCTGAAATATAGCAAAAGCACACTTCAAAAATAACGTATAGAAAACTGAGCTTTTTAAACACTTTCATTTTGAAATTTTCTTATAAAGCTTTACGGTGTAGCCTCATAGATTACAATAATCAGGAAGAATGGAGCTATCCCATTAAACTGAAAAGGAAAATAAAGGCAGAAATTGTATGTCTCATTAATTATGCCTAGCATATTTCAGGCACATAGTTGGCATTCAAAAATTTTTTGACTGAATGGAATCACTATAGTTCTGGAAACTGAAGTAAATTAAGACTTTCAGAAGGAGAAGGCAAATAGGCATGGCTCTACGGACTATGGCAGTACCCTGTCCTGGAAGCAAACATATGCCTCTAGCATCACTGATCTCCAATCTCTTAACCAAATTCTTAAATACATCTCTGAAGAAAAACTACAAATGTTCAATAAATACATACAAATGTCAACATCTCTGGTCATTAGAGGAATGCAAGTTAAAACTAGAAAAAATTCCTGTCATCAAGAAACCAAATAATAACCAACGCTGCAGAGGCTATGAAGGAGCCCTTCAATATTGCTGGTAAGAATGTAGACTGGCACAACCACTCTGGGAATCATTATAGGGATTCATCAAAAAACTAAAACTAGAAATTCCATGTGACCTAGCTATCATTCTTCCAGGTATCTTCCCAAAAGCGTTAAAGACATCCTGTTACAGTAATACTTGCATACCCATCACTATGGCATTGCAATTCATAATAGATAAATCTTGGAAGCAGCCTATATGTGCATCAACAATTAATAGATAAAAAAAGAAAAGTGGTAGCCTTCTGTGAGCCTTTGCACCATCCTACTCTGTACTCTGCAGAGTACACTTCTTATCTTTAATTGACTTACAATCACTCACTCTTTAGAGGATACTCATTTTCCTACCTTTGATATCTTTAATAAATTTAAAACCTTGCTACCTTGAAAAAAAGGAGATATTTCTACACGATGGAGTACTATTCTACAATAAAGAAGGATAAGCTTAAAATATTTGTAGAAAAAGAGATGTACTGAGACCATACTGTTAAGTGAAATAACTCAGATATATAAGCTTAAATATCACATGGTTTCTCATATATGAGAAACTCAAAATATAAAGAAAAAGAAAATATGGATCATACAAAATAAAGAATTAGATCTTTTGCAAAAAGGAGGGGAACTAAAATACAGAGAAGGGTCAGGGAGGGGAAGAGAAAGGTGAAAAAGAACCAAGATGTGTTATATACATGGACTAACCCTCCACTACAAATGTAACCATTATATACTGCACACATGGATTTAAAATAAATTGAAAAAAAACCCCAAGGATCATTGACAATGTAGTAATATGTCTATCAGAACTGAAATAATAACATAATTCTTGGACCATGCAGCCTTCCTCTATAGTTACTACTTAGCAGCTTAGATTTGTAGATACAATTTCTCTAAGAACTGCTTTCAATTTCTGCCTTTTACTAGCTTATCTGGGCAAAGGATTTTTTCCAGATCATAACCTCTCATCAAAACAGTGGTAGAAGGCAAGTACACATTGGAGTCAAATGGTAGTCTCTCTTTGGTTTGACAGTAAGTTCACTTCTGGTAATTTCAGATTCAAAACCACAATGTTGTTCTGTGTTACTATTAAAATCATAGACCCTCAGGACATATTTTCAAGGCCATAAAAGTGACAATAAAAGTAAAAATAAGGACTGCAACTGACAGCCACAAAAATGGAAGGGTAAAAAATCTGTCAATTATCTAAAGCTGAGACTACAGGAGGTAAGGGGCCTAAGGGAAAAGAAACAATGGGTATCCTTAATGTCAAGAATTTAGTAAAAAACTACAAAGTTTCTGATGATCTGATAGAACTGTGTTGGTTAATCAATACTCACATTCTATATGTGGCTCTTGGACACTGTGCTTGTAAAATACAAACAAGAATTTGAAGGCAGAGTATAACAAAAGAATATGAAATATTTTTAGTGGTTTTATATTGCTTTATGTTCAAATGATGTTTTAGACAATATGGGTTAAATATAGTAAATTTAGATTGACAAAAATTGTGCATTATGCCATATTTCTATCAGACAACACATGCTTCTAAAGAAAGAAATGGTGCTTTTCTTTGAACAAAAGTGTTCTAATATTTGTTTACTGAGCACCTGCATGTTCTTTATATACAAGCCTATAAGTAAAGTAGCTTAATCAGCTGATTTTATATAATACCTTTAAAACCAAATAAGTACCTATCCAAGAAAATTTTGAAACCAGATTTATCATTATTATAGAACATATTCTGGCCAAATGAAAACACACATATATACACTCACATACACACACACACACTCACACACTCACACACACATGCACACACACAATAAAGAGAATTCAGACGCCCTCATGATTTTTAAATTTATAGCTGGTATTTCTTTTTTTAGGTTATAAATTATTTACTTTATTTCATTTATTTTATTTTTATTTTAAAAAGAATAAAACCATGCCAAGCAAAAACAGGATAAAGCCAATCAAAACAAACCACTTGCAAGTGATACAGGACTTCCAAACAATAGGAAATCTACAATGGCTACCATAATGCCTCCTGTTGTGTTCAAAATAGCTTAAGGTACCTCCAGAGATAGTAAAAATCCATCAAAATAGGATAGACTAGAGCCAATAAAAACAAAACAATGAGCACAATAAAGGTCTTCAAAACAATAGTAAATGCAAAATGGCCACCATAATACATCTTGTCATCCTTGAAACAGTTGCCATGCCATCTGTCTTAATTTTCACTCTCATTGTTGAGACAAAATACCTGATGCCCAAAATTAGGGAAACAAACGTTTATTTCTTTTTTTTTTTTCTGTCTTTTTCGTTTTTATCGGTACCAGGGATCGAAATCAGGACTGCCTGCTTGCAAGGCAGGCACTTATGCCACTGAGCTAAATCCCCAGCTCTTCAAAGGTTTATTTCTTACAGTTCTTGGAGGATTTTCAGTCCATACTCAGTTGGCTCCAAAGCAAGGTGGCATAGTGGGTCCACCATTCATGGCTGCCCCAAACAAGCATAAACTGGCAAGCACAAGACACACACCTTCCTGCCAAAACATCATATCCTGGCTCCACACCTAGGTGGTTGAAACACACCAACAATCCAAGCCCTAGACAATGAACCAATCACAATGCTAGACTTCGTTGCTAGATTTGGTCAGGTTCATAATTGCATGAGGCTTGGGAGCCACTGACAAAAACCATGACATTCCACCACTGTCCCCCAAAAATTCATGTACATCCTTTATACAAAAGACATTTAGTCATCTCCAAGAGTTGCCAAAGTCCTAACATTTTCAACATGAAAAATCCAAGTCCTTAAAGCTGGTATTTCAACCTTAGAGATTAACATGAGAAACCAGCTGACAAAAGTTTCTGACTGTCCTTGATCTAACTCTAATTTCTGTGACTTCCTTTTCTCATTCTGGAGTTACTAAATCTTGCTCTAAGTTTCCCTATCCTTCTCTCAATAGAGGTTTCTTTCACTCTATAGACATGTTCGTAAGTGCATCAGTGTTCTACCAGACAGCACAGGGTTGCATGGCATAGGTGCAGTGACGGTGTAGAAAACTACATCTTGAAATATAGGTTCGGTAATTCAGTTTAAGGTTCCCGTGCCTCTGTTCTCGCTAAGATGTAACCTACATCACAGGAAAGCCAATGTAAAACCAAAAGGAAGCAGCTGGAGTATCTAATGGACACAAAGAAACTATAGCTTTCATGTTCTAGAATGAAATTTGTCACTCTGCCTCTTTATAGATCATCTTGGCTTATCCCAAAGGATTTTTAAATTAAGATGCACAAAATAGATCTTCCTCCAGCCTTGATTTATTCTGGAAAAAGTCTTACGATTTTCCTTTCCCAAATTCTTAATAATCATACCGATGCTCACTGTTTATTGGTGCTATCACCTAAGTAAATCACTTATTTTATTTTCTATGTACTCTACATTCTAAGTCACTCTCAAATCCATATTAAGGGAACATTTCGTTGTTGCTGCTGCTGCTGCTGTTGCTGTTAGTATTGTTGTGGTGGTGTTGTTCTTGTCTCACTATCAGTTCAGGCTGACCTTTAAGTCGTTCAGAGCCCCAGCTGACCTCAAACTCGCAGTGATCCTCCTATGTCTGCCTCCTGTTGCTGAAACTATAGGTGTGTATCACCATGCTTAGCAGGAAGCATTTAGAGAGTACAATAAAAGATCAAACGTAACCCTAACAGAGACACTTTAGATGCAGACATTTCCTTTCTGATAGAATGCAAGTGTAAGAGATCTGTCAATTGAAATACAATGATAGGATCAAGAAATATAATAATTAATAAAAGCAAATATTAAAAGCCTCGTGAAACATAATTAGTTTTTCAGGTTACAGGTCAGGAAGCAGAGTTCAAAAGATACATGCTGGCTTCAGAAACATATTTCAAGACACCAAAGCAATTAAAATTTTAAAGAATGCCCCTTTAAGAATACTACAAAGGGACTAAAACCTGTCTCCATCTAACCTACATACAACAGTTACCCTTTATCAAGTAACTTTGTGTTTTGTTTTTAATTGAACTGAATGTTATTTCTCTTACCTGGGTCAAAATCAAGAGTGACAACAAACTGAGCTTAACTTTACTTACATCTTCCTCACAACAGCAGACAAATTGCTGAATGAAATTTAGAATGTATAAGATAACTTCATAAAAGTTTAATTTGACAGAAAAAAAATTATTTATTTTGAAAAAAAATTTTTTTGTCTTTTTCCTTTTTATCGGTACCAGGGATCGAACTCACGCCTGCCTGCTTGCAAGACAGGCGCTTATGCCACTTTCCAATCATTCATTTAAATTTTGAAAAGGTAATGAGAATTCCTTTACATCAGAACTATAATTAATACTTTGAATTTTTGTTTTGCTTTAGAATTTGAAAGCAGTATTACAAGGGTGAGCTTTAAAAGAAACATTTTCTATATTTGTGAAACGGAAAGGTGCATAAAGAGATTCCTTACCTTGCACTCATAAAGAACACACACTCCAGAAGAAGAATAGACTGTATTTCGTTCTCCTTCAAAGTAGGTTCGTCCTTGAAATTGGCATATTGCTTTAGGATAAAAAAGATTACATGTATTGATATTTTATTAGGAAAAACAGCTTAGAATTATTCACATTATTTTCTAAGTCTTTCATATGTTTTCTTTTATATCTATTTCCAATTGTTTGAATTATAAACCTAAATTCAATCTACTATAATGTACATGTAAATTTAAGTCAGCATTTTGCAAATTAAGAAGATGAAATGATGTGCAAAAGGAATAATGACTTATGACTTACTTTAGAAAGTCAGAACAGGACTATGAAGAAAAGAGTGCCAAAAAGCACATTCATAGCCAGTTACATGCCTGATAGATGATGTGCCACTAAGAACATATTAAGTAGGTACATAGGATGACAATGAATTACTGTCAATACAATATGAAAAAGAATCTTTTTTTATAAGACACTGTTACAGCATTTTGAAAAAAAAAGTTAGAAGCTATTTAACTCCAGCATGGATATGTAAGCTTTATGTTTTCTAGTTTAGTATTACTTTAAATGCATACAAGTTGAAACATCTCAGTTAGGATGTTGAAATGACTTTAAACTGACCTGCCTTGTTTTCTTTCCAACAATATAAAAATTTAAAGCATAACTTCAGATTCAATAGGAAACATGTTTTAATGAGTTATACTGCATAGAGTATAAACTTTTCTGAAATTTACAAAGTACTTACAATTCACACAGACATTTAGCCAACAGAAATTATTTACTTATTTTGAAATGAAAATTTCAAGTTACCCATGTTAAATATCTCTTAAACAGATAGTTTTACCCTGAGGCTAATAAAGTCTAATCTTCGGGTTCCTTCTCTAAGATTCTAAACTAATATTTGATTTTATAATTTTTTATCATTTATCTTTTTATCATTTATCTTTGAAAGCTACCACTGTATATGCTTCAGTTGACCATAACATCTAGATCTACACCAAGAACATTAGTTCAAAGGCTAGTAGAAGTAAATCTCTGATGCAATTTATACCTCATATTTATTGAATACAGATTTTATTTAGCCACGAAGATTTTAAAAAGTAAAAGTACACTTCCTTTTAATTCTGCTAAATGAACAGAAGAAATTCTTTCACTCTTTAGAATTTACATTTTCTTACTACCTTTAAAAGCAGAAATTAGATATACTATTATTAATATCAGTATGGTATTGCATAGATATTAATATCCCAGGTATAATCCAAATTTTCATCTTCACTGAAAAATCTATTGATTTTTAAAAGTCATGTACTTAAAAAATGGTAACCATGCTCATTTTTAAAAATCCATATTTCAACTACTCTCCTTACTCAGATTTTATTAACAAATTTGATTACATGATACATCTCTACCAGTGAATTGATTTTAAATTTTTTGGAGCTTGCTAGAAAAAAATACAACTTACTTGTATAAATTATATTACTTAAAGGCTTACTGAAACTTGCTCTCTCATGAATATTCAAAATGAATCTAAGATATGTCAGTTGCATACTATCTACCATATTATGAATTAAAATAGCATGCACATTTACTTAATAACCTGATTCACTGCAAAAATATCTCTCCAGTGTGTAGAGTGTGATCTTTTTCTTACTTAAGCAAGTTAAACTCAAAATACCAAGATCTAACATATTGTATGTTTCATAGTACTTAAATTACTACTATGTTTTACAAGATAATGAGAACAAATAAAAACATTCTTACTTCTATTTATTACCTATCATTCAAAGGTTTCTTAGCCTGTATTATAGGACTTGATAACTGAAGCCTATACAAACCATTGAGTATGCTTTAAGTCTTTCTTAGTGGGGAAAGGTTATACAGTTATAAAACAAACAAACAAAACCCCAAGGGTAAATTCTCCTTATACAAAATCTTAGGATAAGTTAATATTCATGCAGAGCATATGGACCTTCTGTTCTAAACTCTTAATTCAGAAGATGCAAACAGGCAACTTGTGGACAATAGGGCACCAAATGGAGCTTGGCAAAGATGGAGAAAACACAGAAATGCGTGAGGTCACAATTGCTTTATTCCCTTTCAAGTGATGTGCATAGTACCTTTCACTTAGGGACACCCAACGTGAGTTTGTCTATATTTATATTTTGACCAATTATCTTTACTCTCCATAATTCTAAGGTTCCATGGAAGTTCAATGTCAGAAAGATTTTCCCTAGGCTCTATATGGGAGAAATGTGAGGAAATTCAGAAAAGCAATAGTGATTCTTGAAAACAGTATAAGAGTTAAAAATATAATTACAGCAGTTTCAGGACATTTTGAAGAGAAAATTAAGGAAGTGATAATCATATTAAAATATTCATACACTTAACAAATAGGCATTGAACTCTTACATACCATATACTCTGCTAGGTACTGGGATTCAAAAATGAATAAGGTGTGATTCATGTCCTCACTACTGAGGAGGGCAGACAGACTCATACACAACTGATTATAACAAAAACCAAACTTAAATGTTCTAATTAATGAACTTATATGTTAAGGAGAAACAAAAGACACTGAATGATGATAGAGAAACAAGGGCATTTCAAAGATCCAGACTCAAGTCTTAAGACCAAGAAATCATCACCACCCTAGGCCTATGGAGCAATAAGAGAAAATTATTTTCTAGTACCTAATGTGCGTCAGAGTTAGGGAAGCGGAGCTCTCTAGAGAGTACTGCAATCATGATAGCACAACTACTGCCCATGATAGAACTAGTGCAGAGAAGGAGTTGGCAAGAAATATGCCAATCCTCTGTCCTCCTGCCTTCCAATTTCCTGCGAGTGTTTTCCACTGGCAGATGTACACAAAGACAGCTGTTAAAGAGACCAGATTGATGGCTCCTGCAAAAGTCAGGATCTGGGCATACAATGTAAAAGAGGACTAGAATCAGGATTATGGAGTGGCCAGGAGAAGTCATTCAGTGGAGGCTTTTACGTATTCTCGTGTAGAAGGATAGGTTGCTAAGAAGGCCATAGAGATGAAAAACAGAACAAATAAATTTTAAAGAGAGTAAATGGAAACATATTTGAAAAATACAGTTACACTTCAAGGGAAAGTTCAGACAGCTTATCAAAATAAGACCCACAGGCAGCTAAACTATCAAATGAAGAAACTGAGCCAGCCACAGGAAGAGGGAGAGTCTAAACTGAAGAGGGAGAGCAGGTCATCTCCATGTCTTGATGTCATCCAAGACTGCCCATGTAGGTATCAGTGTCAAAGTCTCAAGGACCATCTCTAGAATCCATGGTAGAAAAGAATCTGCCTGCTTACATTCTCAAGTAGAGCATAAGTAAAAGAAATCACTTAATGAAACAGTGAATGAATAACCATGTCACTGTGATTATTTCTTCTTTAATGTAAATACACTCACATATTTATAGTTGGAGAGTTCATCTCTTTAATTCTGTTGTGTGTTCATAAATGTGCTGTCATCTGTCTATATAGCATTAAGTTCTTTTAATGTAACCCTTGATTCCTAAGCCCAAATCACTTGCCAGTTTAAAACAGAATTAAATTAATTGGATCATATTGTCAAAACTCTATGTGGAGCTGATTGATGACTATATTACATGTATTTCATTACAAGAAGATTAGAAACTATATATTTTTAGGTATGAATCTTCTGTTCAGAGACATTTTAAATATAGACTAAGAAACTAGACCTTATAGACTAAAGCTACATTTTAGTTTTTAATATTGACCAATGTCAAATGCATATTTACTGTGACCGATAGATGATGTTGTTTGTGTAACTCCGACGGGTATGATTTACTTTATGGTCTATGTGAATTCTGTCCCCCAGAGCTTCCTATCTTGTTCAGGTACTGTGCAACAGTATTCACAATAATTTCGGACAATTAAATAGGAGGAGATGACAGGTATTTGTCTTACCAAATCTATGCTACACATTGCAAATTATAGTTCCTAGTGTAATTATGATGTAATCTACAAAACGTTATATGAATTATTTTCACTCCACTTTTTCCCATTTTAACAACATAAATACATATGAACAGGAAATAGGAAGTCACAACAACCCAGATGCACATATGAAAGTCACTGGTTGTTAAAAGCGAAAAGTATTTTATAACACAAATTGAGAAACAGATATATGGAACAAAACAGTAAAATTCTAAAAATTCTAAATTACACATTAAAATCCTAATTTATGGATCATTAATACAGAGCTAGCAACTGCAGTTAGCTCTAATGAGATTTAATTAACTTCTACAAACCTTCATACAGAGAATGATCTAAATCTGTGTAAAAATGTTTTAGAATATGTAGGGAAAAAACATAACAATATTTCACCTCTAAACATTTCTTCACTCATTAAAGAGCTTTTCCTTTCTACTACTACTATAGAACTAATAAAAACCTAGTAACATTCTCTTAAAAATTAGACTCATGGCTTCTTTAATACTCTTTTTGAAATATCAGCTATCAGTGATCTTTAGACTGATTAAGCTGTATGTTTAGAAAAGAAATGTGTAGTCTCAAGGTGTATCAAATTTCTTACAAATGACTCAAGGTTATCCTGTTTGGTAGAATAGTACTCCCCTGACATGAATACCATATTTTCCCTATCCATTCATCTGTTGTTGGACATACATGTTTCTTTCATGTATTATTATGTATAATTATTATGAATTGTGGTAGAATAAACATGAGTATCAATATAATGTGATTTCTTTAACATTTTGGGAAGACAACTCAGAAAAGATGGGTCAAATCAGACACACATAAAAAAGTAAAATTAAAGACAAATAGTAGGAAGTGGGGAACCAGAGCTCTCTCAAATGAGAAAGGGGATCAAGAGATGGAGAGAGGAGGAGACGAAGAATATGAAAAAGGAATCATGATGTGTTAGGTACATGTGCCAACTTCCCACAAGGAATGTAAACAGTACGTACTAAAAACATGTACTAATAAAAAAATATTTTTAAAGGGAAGAGTTTTATGTGATTGCTTTGTAAAAATCCCCTGTATAATGGTATTTTGTAAAAATGAGTTTG